AAGAGTGGAGAAATATTGACATTTCACCACTCTTACCGCCACAAGGTAGGCCTTAATAGCGGCTCTAGCTTGTGTTTGGTTAGGTTTGGTCCTTGTTTTCCTCCAGCGGCACTCTAGACTTCTTTTAACCCTTTTCAAAACCCTCAACTCCTCCGTAAGCCATGGGGAGTGTCGCGTTCAATGGATCAAGAGAGGTCACATGAGCGCGATCTTGTCCAAGGTATTGGCTGCTTTCCTATTCCAGGTAGCAGCCAAGGCCTCCACTGGACGGTGCAGCAGACTCTTGGGTATAACCCCCAGCTCCCTTTGGAACCCAATTGGGTCCATCAGTTGCTGGGGGTGGACTGATTGAATGGGTCTTACCTCCCTGCAAATTTTGCATTGTGTTGAACATTCTTTAGATCTCAGAAAACTGGTACAACATTACTGTAGAAATGCAAATTTTATCCACAAAATATTTCTCAAGCAGAAGCATAAAAGTTAGATTGCAAAGAATGGAAAGATATCTTTAAAAACTCAACCCCTTGTACCCCAGTATGTAATTTAGTGATTGGATTTGATATCTACATATAGATGTAGGAAAGAACGTACATTTTTGGTCTCCCATCTAATAAAATGCTACAATAGAGTTAGGAATTGTGCAAAATAAAAAAAAAAAGATGAATAGAGTTTCCAAAGTTAGGCTACATGAGTTATGCTCCAGGGCCACATGATGCCCCCAAAACCCATTTTTGCAGCTCCTGGTGTCTTCTTCTGCCAAAGTCAGTCATGTAATTTCTCCCCATTTTGGGACAAGATGTAGAGAAAGCCCTTTAATAGGCAAACATGGTTAACAAGATGTACTTGTCCAAACTCAGGAAAAAGATTTGAAAACAAGTATTGAATATTTGATGTTGTCCAGTGTTGATTGAGAGGGTTTTTTTGTCCTTGGTTACTAATTGGCTGACAAACAATGGAGGAGAAATGTTGCAGAAATGTTGTTTGTTTTTTGAGAACACTACATTTCTTTAAACAGTGAGCCCATTATATAGCACAAATACTTCTTTAAAAATAGACAAATTTCATGTATATAAGCCACGCATAAATCAGTGGTGGGCAACTTTTTTTGATCAGTGGGCAGATTTTTCAGTTTGTGGGGGGGTTCATGCCAAAAGCTGTCGAGAGGCAGTAGTATGTTGGGGATGTCACTGGAATGGGCAGAGACCCTGACCTATTGTTTCTAAACCCCGACATAGCGGCCTATTTAATTGTAAAAATAAAGAAGCAAGAAAAATGGCACTACTAAAAATTGCCATTTTGCAGTTTAATTTCAGTGCTATGGGGTAAAGAGAGAAGGGTGCATGTAGGCAGCAGATTCATCATCCTTGGCATAAATGATCAACCATAAACATTTATAAATATCCATCTTGCTTTCTAACTGAAGACATTAGGATTTAATAATTGATTTATTTTGAATTTTGTTAGCTTTTAATAACATTTAGTATGGTTATTAAAGTATAACAATTTTTTAAAAAATCAATCATTAAATCCTAATGTCTTCAATAGAATTTTCATTAATTTTATTGTGGTGAATTAATTAACAATATGAAAAAGTGACATACAGTGGGGCAAAAAAGTATTTAGTCAGCCACCAATTGTGCAAGTTCTCCCAC